CCCTCCAGCCCCAGCACCTGCCTACAGTGACCGCCCTCCAGCCCCAGCACCTGCCTACAGTGACCGCCCGTCAGCCCACTCCACTAGATGGACGGAAGAGGTCACAGTGCTCAGGATCTAATCATCTCACCTCCAGGCAGTGCTGCTTTAATGGGAGATCCAGACCGCAACAGCCACAGGGTCGTGTGCACGGCTTCACCTTGGCATATGTGTCTTACAGACTCGCGATCAACTTAGTTCAGATTCTATCTGCTATGTTTTCAGCTGATGGAGAAAATATTCATTGTATAATAATTGATACTTTAAGAAAAAAAAGAACAAGAAAACTGAATTTTTAAAAGTCAAACAAGACGCCATCAGTTTCACAACAGGCTACTTTGAAACCTAAGTGTCCCTCAGAGGACCAGGTGTTGGGGGCTTCGTCCCCCTGACGGAGCTCCTGAGAGATGCAGAAGCTCTAAGAGGCCTAGTGAGAGTCTGCAGGTCACTGCTAATGTGCCCTCAAAGCAAACCTGGGACCCCAGTCTCTCCCTCTGAGAGCCTCTCACATGGCCCAGCTCCGGGTCCCAGCAGCCTGTGTTTAGGTGTGCCCCTGCCACTAAGGACCCTTTGAACTTGGGGACATGGTTTGGCCTCCTTGAGCCTCCTCCGGCCCCTAACCTCCCAGGGAGTCAGCACAGTGAGGCCTGGGAAGGACTTAGCACAGCATGGAAGTACTCGGTACTCAGCACCTATATCAGCGCTAGCCGTGTGAGTCTCACCCTTCTTAGTGGGCTCTGGGCCTGCCTGCGGGCCCTCCCCGGTCCTCTTGGTCTTCCCCAGTGTGTGTCACCAGCCACAGCAGAGGAGGGAGCATGCTGCTCCTCCCCAGCCTGCAGTGGACGACCATAGTTAGTGCCTTGGGCTCCGGTACTGGTACCGGTACCACTCTTCCCTTCGGTCTTCTGACTGCCCCTGGGGGGATCACAGGAAGAGCCCCTCCCTGTTCTACCAACCCACCCTCCGCCTCCTCCCAGGTGGGATTCTTCCAAAGCACAGCTCCGGTCCTTCACACCCCAAAGCCCCTACTGCCTTCAGGGAAAGTCTTCCTTGTTTAACAGGGAAGCCCCTGGCCCTGCTCTGCACCGCTCCTGCCTCACCAGTGACCTTCATCCTCCTCCCTGCACAGCCACATCCTAAACCCAAACACAGAGCTCAGACAAGGGACTATAGAACCTGAAGGCCTCCGCTGTGGTCAAAGCCACCCTCACCTGCTGTGGTCAAGGCCACCCTCACCTGCACTCACATCCCAGTACCGGGGATTGAACTCAGGGACCACTGAGCCACACCCCCAGCCCGAGTTGGTATTTTATTTAGAGACAGGGTCTCAATGAGTTGCTTGGTGCCTCGTTTTTGCTGAGGCTGGCTTTAAACTTGAGCCTCCTGCCTCAGCCTCCTGAGCCACTGGGATTATAGGCATGCGCCACCCAAACGTTTCTTAAGATGATTAAAAAAGAATTCCTGCAATTAATGGGTCAATCTTTGACAAAACAAATCACTAAAAACAAAAGAAAAAAGAGAAATGAGAATGAGATAACAAACCCAAAGAGATGAAAACTTAAAGACAATGCTGAGGCTTTTTCCAATCAGGGTGTGATTTTTTAACAAAAGATTTTTTTTTTTAATCTAAAAGTGATCAAGAAAAAGTAGAAAACCTAAAAAGACTGGTAGTCATGAAAGAAATGCAAAGATTAAAAAAGAATTCTCCCTCTCCAGAGATTCAAGCCCAAGCACTTCTCTTGATGAGTCTTATCATTCTTCAAAGAAGGCTCTCCTGGGGGCTAGTGCTGTAACTTAGTGGTGGGGGCTTGCTTAGCGGTGGGAGGCCCTGCGTTCTGTTCCCAGCATTGCCAAAAGTAAAAATAGAGCCTTTAATACATTTGAAGAATAAAAAACAATAGAAAGTTAGAAGAAATTCTAACTCATGTTTTAAAATAATATTTGGATATCTACATTTTAAAAATCTGTAATAGAAAAAACCAGAGTAAGGGATATTGTTCACGCCTTCAGTGACTCTCCGACCAGCACACAGCAAGCACATGACTGTGGCCAAGGCCTCCTGCCATCAGGAGCTGCTAACGTGACCTGGGACCAGTCAGCTTTCCTAGAAAGGAATCCAGCTACTGGTGCTAGGGAGGGAGGTTGACCAAACTGCCTTTCCATGTACACCGGAAGAAGCCCAAGGACACCCACCGTTCTGTGCAGATCATAGGCTCTGACAGAAAAAGAGCATTGCACAAGTTCATACCTTCACTCTGATTCCATTCCGGAAGAAGTCCTGAGGACAGCTGAAGTGAGGGCAGAGGTTATGCAGCCACATTGTCAACTCTGAGTTGCTTAGAGTAGAAAAAGTAGAAAACCTAAATAGACTAGTAGTCATGAAAAAAAATGCAAAGATTAAAAAAGAATTCTCCCTCTCCAGAGATTCAAGCCAAAGCACTTCTCGGTGCTTGCTGAGTTGCTGAGGTTGGCCTTGGACTTGTGGTCCTCCTGCCTCGGTCTCCCTCCTAGTAAACAGGATAACAGGCATGTGCCTCTGAGCCTGGTAAAACACACAGATGTTTTCTTCTCTTCCATTTCTTTCTACTTCAAAATCTTTCAAAAATAAGAAAATACTGCTTTTGTCACCATACAAAAAATTTTAAAATGATTTAAAAATGGAAGAAAATAGAGACAAGGACAGGACCATGGGTGAGAGCTGAAGTGGACTTGTGTGTGTGCGCATGTGTGTGCATGTGTGCGCATGTGTGTGCATGTGTGTGCATGTGTGTGCATGTGTGTGTGTGTGCCAGAGCACTGATGCTCTTAGGATGAGGGGAACCTGAGCATGATCCTTGAGAGTGAGCGGACCCCCTGGAGGTGGGTGTGGAGGAGCGGGGTGGAGGGAAGGGCCTGCGGGACAGGAGACATGGGATCACGGCTCCAGGGGGATTGGCCTTGCCCGGTGCAGGAGAAGATGCTTCCTCCCCAAAGATGGCAGAAAGAGAGAGGAGAGAAATTCACTGGACATTTCGTATTGGGGGCAGGAAATTGAGAATCATGCCTCATGCTTCGGTTTTCTCTCTCGTGAAGGTTCTGGAGCGGGTGCAGTGGTGCACACACTGTATCCCAGTGTGTGGTTGGGGCAGGAGGATCACAAGTTCAAGGCCAGATTGGGCAACTTAGAGAGACCCTCAGCAGTTTAGCAAGAATCCATCTCAAAATAAAAAATAAAAAATGCTGGGGAATGTAACCCAATGGTAAAAGTGCCCTTGGGTTCAATCCCTAGTATTAAAAAAAAAAAAAAAAGGACTCTGGGTTACCTGCAAAAGTGGAGCTGGGCAGGGCCAGAAAGGGTGTGAAGCTGGAGTTGAGGGCAGCGTCTACAGAATAAATTGGAGACGAGGGAGGAGCTCAGAGGACGTGTAGAAGGCGGCCAAGGAGTGTTGTGTTCCAGGTGAAGTGGAGACCATGATGCAGGCTAGCGCCCCTGAGCAAGCTGGAGTGATTTCCAGGGAGCCCGGCATGGCACCTGGGAGCAGAAGGTAGCTGTTGGTGGATTACCCTGGGATCCCCACTCCCTGCCCTGCAGGACAGGCTCCTCCAAGTGGTATTGGGGACGCAGGTTCCAGTGGGCTGGCTGGTGTCTCCGTGTCTCACCTGCCCGCATCTTTCCCTGGCACTGAGCCAGCCGTGCACAGGAGACCTAAATAAAGGTGGGCTGCACTGAGACGAGGCACCTCTCTGCTTACACGAGATGAGCTGGAACCGAGTGAGTGGTCAGCTCATCCATAACCACATACATGTGGGGATTCAAAAAGAAAAAGAAATTGCCTGGAACCCCAGTGAATGTGTCAGCCACTTGCTCCAAATGACCCATCGGTGATGTGAACAACACGGGAGACCCTGGATGCCATTCTTCATTCCCCTGCCGAAGCTCCTCTGGTTTGATGACCAGTCCAGGTAGGGGCAGTCTGTGTTCATCACCAGGCCTGGGCAATTAGTGGAGGATCCCAAATCCCTGCCTTGCCAGTGTCTCCTTCTCTCTCAGCACAGTGGAGCTCTGCATGAAGGACCGAGTCTTGGCACTCACTTTATGGGCTGTCCCCGAGGACCCCTCAGGTTCCACCCAGTGTGTGGGGGGGCCCTGGAGCTGACCTGGGGGTAGGAGGAACGAGCTGGCCCAGCTGAAGACCCAAGGTGGGTAGGGAGTCGAGCGGGCCTGTGCTCCCGTCTCTGAGAGACCACCCTGCAGCAGGTCCGCTCTTGCTCTTCCTCCTCCGCCGGTCTTTTCTGAGGCCCTTCAAGGTCTGATTTTCTAACAACCTTACCCTTTCCCTCTATCACCACACAGGAGCCAGGAGGAAGAGAGTTTGCTTTTATTGATGTCCCCAGCTGCTAGTGTCCCCCCAGACATGTAGTACATGTTCAATAAACATGTGTGAGTGGCAGGCGGGGAGGAGAGAGGAAGGAAGGGGGATGTTTCATGGCTTCCCCTCCAGTGATACCAGCCACCCTGAGAGAAGCCAAAGACCACACTCCGTCCCTCTATGGCATCAAGGACCATCCATGCTGTGGCAGCCTGGCCCCAGCCATGTCCCTCTGTGGACGTCCCCCTGGGTCTCTGAGCTCGGCCCTGGTTCTGTGCTCCCCTGGATGGTGCCCCTGATCCAGGTTGCACGTAACTAGCAGAAAGTGCATTGAGCAGAAGCAACTTAGGACCTGCTGCTGGCGTGAGCAGACCCGGCACCCTAACGCTGGATCACCTGAG